GCTGACAGCTTAGAGCCTGGATCCTGCTTCGGGTTCTGTGTCTCTGTCTCTGTCTGTTCCTCCTCCGCCTGCACTGTCTCTGTCTCTCTCTCTCTCTCTCTCTCTCTCTCAAATAAAGATTTAAAAAAAAAATAATAAGCAGCTGGGAAACGTGCCCAAAGTTGACACCTTTGCCATAATAGTAACAGTAAATGCATCCTGTGCTCTCCCGCCAACAGGCACCTTTCTAAGCACTTGCTGTGTATCCACAAATCTGCTCCCACACCAGGGCTAGAGAAGTCGTCTCTTTCATCTTACAGATGAAAAAGCAGAAGCCCAGAGAAGTTAGGGAACTAGTCCAAGACCTTGAATCTAGTGACGTGAGGGAGGCAGGTTTATGAGCGGGGTGGCCAGCTGCAGAGGCCACACGTCTGGCACAATGCATCCTGATGCCCTTTGGGGGAGTGGAGAAATGCATTTGCGGCAACCTCAGCCAAGGAGGAACTTCCTCACCTGTGTCTGTGTGCAGAGGACTCTCACTTCCAGGCCTGTCGCTGGAGCCCCCTTGGTTGGGAGTGGAGGTTTCACCCCAGGGGCCCGCTCAGACAAGGGGTGGGGGGGTTGCTCGTGGAAGAGGCTTAAGCTGTCCCGGCTGCACGGGGGTCCTGCTCTGAGCGGGGATCCAATCACAGATCCTTCTCCCACTCGCGCTGGCCCACGGGGGGGCCCTGTGAGGAGGTGACCCTGGCCTAGCCAACAGGAGTCGGGGAGCCACACAGCCCCAGCTCCTCCTCCGCAAGGTATGACCATGAGCGAGCTCCTCTATTCCGGGGTGCCTCGCCTGAAGTCAGCAGGAAATGAGATGCTCCTATGAAATGACCCTGGACGTTTAGTTTTCCTTTGAGCACTGAGGAATGACATGAGTGAATTACCTGTGCTGTGACCAGCACATAGCAGGAGATCAGAAATAATAGTAATTTCTGTTACTGGTGCTGTCGTTCTTGTCACTGTTTGGAGAACAGTTGCCAAAGTCGAGTGTGTTAGCCAATGTCAAGGCTTCTACTTACACGTATTTTTAATCTCTTCCTTCCCTGATCTAATTCTGTAAGTATGATCATGCGTACACAACATATAGGCATATGCAGGGTGGGCGAGTGCTCAAAAACGTTCCCTTGAAAAGAGTTGAAGACCCCTGGGATTAGTAATGGGCCCCCGTCTAGCCATGTGAGGGGTGGGGAACAGAAAAAAAGGTTACAACAGTGGTTTGCCCCAGGTTTTCTAAAGACTCCGAGGTAGGTTCTTCCAGAACTACTGGCATTGGTTGCTTTTTTGCGGGGGAGTTTGGGAAACAGAGTATCCAAATGGCCACACACAGGAGAATTGGCAGATTCGAGGATTTGGCGAGGTTTAGAGTGAGGTAATTATAAACAAAAGTGATTCTCCACCTTTCCTCTTAGCTCCCAAATTGGCTCCGGGCCCTCACAAATCCACCATCTTTTCTCATTTCTCCTCTGGCCTACTCTGCCCAAGCAGGCCCAGGGATCTTTCTAGAACTGAGAATCTGCTCGGTCACTCCCCAGGTAGAGCCTTCGGTGACCCACCCCCCTGGCCAGAACCCACTGCTGCTGGTGGCCTGACAGGCCCTCCCTCCACGTTACTGCCCTGCACTGCTCACCACCCACTCAGTGCCCGCCCTGTGTTCCTCCTCCTCCCCTGTTCCCTGGGACACTCACACCCCCAGGTCCCCATCCCCAGCTCCTTCCTTCTCAACCCTCAAGTGCAAATGCATCGCCTCTGGAGAAAATCCTCCCTTGCTGCTCTGTTTCAAGTTTGTCTCCTTTTTTAAACTTCTTAACTTACAAAGCATTTTCTCATACTTTACCTCATTTCATTCTCCCAAGAACCTTGTGAGTAGATACTCTCATCCCTTTTGTACGGAAGGAAAGAGTTCAAAGAAGGGCCCGGCCCAGGTTCTTTCCACCAGTGAGTGATGAAGCAGGTCCTCGGATTTGAATACTGCCGTCCCCGTGCTTTGCCACACTGGTGAGTTAGGTGTGGACTTATTTCATGATTCTGCAACGTGATATTACGGGTGAACACATTCCTCTTTTCCCTGGTTCTGCTTCTAGAAGTTAACATGGAGCATTTGCGGCTTCCAAGAATCTAAATGAAATCTCCAGTGGTTGTTTGAAGTCACCAAATTGCAGCTGCAAATGTTTAGGCTGGCACCAATGTTGCTTTTATTTGCTTCTGACCTATCTAGTGCCTACGTATAAAAAGCTTCCCGAGAACGTACAGCCCAGATATCTGGAAGACGAAGGCCTGTACATCGGCACAAGACCGGACGTGCCTCGCACCTGTCAGAACATCATGGAGAACAGGTTGCTGACACAGGAACCTGTAAGCACGCAGCCAGTGTCTCCCCCCCGCACCCCCCCCATCCTCCCTGTCCCCTGGTGGGCAACTCTTGGAGCTGCTTCTTCCTGTGGGGACAGTCACATCATTCTCATTTCCTCCTGCCTGTAGACAGTGGTTCAATATTTTTATTTGTCTCTCAGTACGTTTGGCGATCCTCAAACCGCACAACCTCTCCCCCCGCTTAAAACCCCTCTTCCGTTGGCTGGGCTCGGGATTCTCCTGCTGAGTCAGATGTCCACAACCCTCACGCAATTCACAGAAATGTTTAATCATCCACGGATAGAAGGTTCTCCGTTGTTTTGCTCCTATGGTTTTTTCCTTCAATTTTTCATGCATAGAAAATACATTTTTTCTGAAGCACCCCTGTAAGCTTTTTGTTAACGCTTTTTTGGAGGGGAGTGAGGACTATATCTTAATTGTGGGGGGTGTTAGTGATGACTCAGTTGCTAATGGAAACGAGGCTTTTATTTTTTTTATTTAAAAATTTTTTTATGTTTATTTTTGAGAGAGACAGAGAAAGAGAGAGTGTGTGAGCAGGGGAGGGGCAGAGAGAGAGGAAGACAGAGAATCCGAAGCAGGCTCCAGGCTCTGAGGTGTCAGCACAGAGCCTGACGCAGGGCTTGAACCCACGAACCACAAGATCGTGACCTGAGCCAAAGTTGACACTGAACCAACCGAGCCACCCAGGCGCCCCAGAAACGAGGCTTTTAAAGATCTATTGGGACAGGGGAAGGTGCATGAAATGTGTGTGTCGACCCAGAATTTTCTTGCAAGTGTTGTTTCTTTTGTAAACCATTTTCTGTCCAGTTAGAAGAAGACGTTGGGACGTCTGGGTGGCTCAGTCAGGTAGGCGTCCGACTTTGGCTCAGGTCATGATCTCACAGTCCGTGGGTTTGAGCCCCGTGTCGGGGTCTGTGCTGACAGCTCAGAGCCTGGAGCCTGCTTTGGATTCTGTGTCCCCCTCTCTCTCTGCCCCTCCTCCGTTCTTTCTCTTTCTCTCTCAAAAATAAATAAACATTTTTTTAAAAATTAAAAAAA